TGTGTGTGTGTGTGTGTGTGTGTGTGTGTGAAAATATATAGAAAATAGGAAATAACTAGTTAGGTAAATAATCCAAAGTTCTTTAGTATTTTTGTTATTATTTTTTTAAAAACAGTGCTCGATACAAAAGTAGAGCCTAAATATAATTATTTATTTATTTGCGATGGAATCATATTTTAAAAAAAATAATATATATATATATATATATATATATATATATATATATATATATATATTTGCGATGGAATCATATTTTTAATAAAATAATTATATATATATATATATCAAAGTATATAATTGGTATACACGGAATGAATTCCAATAACCAACAATTACTATTCTTAAAAGAGTGCTCAATACAAATTAGAGCAGATATAATTATTTTTATAAAAAAATTTATAACATAAGTATGTTATAAAATCACTACAAAAATAGCCATTTGTTTCAACACACTCTGTGTCTTATCAAGTGATGTGTTGAAAAAAAAAAAAAAAAAATAAATTTTTTTTATTAAAAAAATTAATATATATATATATATATATATATATTTGCGATGGAATCATATTTTAAAAAAAAATTATATATATATATATATATATATATATATATACATGGATTGAGGAATCGGAGGCCGAGTTCGAATTCCAGTCGAATCCATTATATTCACTTACGTACTAATACCCTTGGGAAAGGTGTGAATCCTCTTCTTCTCCCTCCAGCTATGGGTAAATAGCAGGACAGACTGGGTTCTATAGCCTTGGATGGCAACTGGTCTAGGAGGAGGACAACTCTGAATTCAAAACCTGCAGAGGGTCGTTTGGGAACCTTGTGGTCCGTAGTGCACCAGGTCTTTGTATTCGGCCCTTCAAAAAGTCTCGATTGTCCTGCACGAAGCCTTCACCACTATAATCAAATCTCATGTGCTGTTGTCGGTTTCCTGAGAACTGATCTGCCCTTGCTTGACCCTCATACGTCGAATTCGACAGGAGAGTCAGTGGATATATATATATATATATATATATATATATATATATATATATATATATATACTCAGCACGTTGTTAATATGTCGTAAAACAAAACAAACCAAACCACTTCTCCAGTCACGATGAATGATGACACCTTGAACGAGTCTCTTTGCTTTGAATATTTATTTGATATAAATTCATTCCAAACTACGTGTTTTACTCAAATATATGATATGATTGTTACAGATACTGGAAAAAAAAGTCTATCGCTCCAGAAAGGAACTGACTCCTCTGTCATGATTTATCTTTGATTAGAACTACATCGGGATATTGCAGTCATACCTGGGGTTGAACTGCTCAATTCTCACTTTCCAAAAATGAAAAATCCAAAATTGGTTATCTGGTTTTTAGGGGGAAGATGTACTCCATCCTCTGCACAGATTTTCATGCAGACGAAATGCCGCAAACCACTTGCTACTCTATCGATATCACTCACTAAATATGAATCAAGGTGATCGGAGCATTGCAGCTGATCCCTCCTTTGATCTAGCTCCAAAAGATCTATGCATAAAAATTAAATCCTGAAAAATACTAATATCTTTTACGAATCACCCAATAAATGTGACTTGATCCACATTTATTGGGTGATTCGGAAAAGATCTTAGTATTAGTGATCGGAGCTTTGTAGCTGATCTCTCTTTTGATCTAGCTCCAACAGATCTATGCATAAACAATGGCTTTTAACATTCAATGCATAAAAAACTAATAGATTTTCCTAGTCACCCACTAAATATAAATCTAGGTGATCACAGATTTACAGCTGATCTCTCCTATGATCTAGCTCCAACAGATCTATGCATAAAAAGTAGCTTTTAACATTAAATGCCTAAAAATCATTAATATCTTTTCAGAATCACCCGCTAAATGTGAATCACTGTGACCGGATCTCTACTTTGATCTAGCTCCAACAGATATATGCATAAAAAATGGCTTTTAAAATCCAATACATAAAAATGTAATAGCTTTTTCGAATCACCTACTAAATATGAATCAAGGTGATCGGAGTTTTGCAGCTGATTTCTCCTTTGATCTAGCTACAACAGATATATGCATAACCAATGGCTTTTAACATCCAATACATAAAAACCTACTACCTTGTCGAATCACCCACTAAATATGAATCAAGGGGATCGGAGCTTTACAGTTCATCTCTACTTTGATCTCGCCCCAAAAGATCTATCCATAAAAATGGCTTTTAACATTCAATGCATAAAAAAGTCTAATATCTTTTGCGAATCACCCATTAATATGAATTTGGTGATCAGAGATTTACAGCTGATCTCTCCTTTGATCTAACTTCAACAGATCTATGCATAAAGAGTAGCATTTAACATTAAATGCCTAAAAATGATTAATATCTTTTCCGAATCACCCTTTAAATGTGAATCAAGGTGACCGGATCTTTGCTGTTGATCTCTCCTTTGATCTAGCTCCGACAAATCTATGCATAAACAATGGCTATTAACATCCAATGCAGAAAAACCTAATACCTTTTCGAATCACCCACTAGATATGAATCAAGTTGATCGGAGTTTTGCAGCTGATCTCTCCTTTGATCTAGCTCCAACAGATCTATGCATAAAAAATGGCTTTTAACATTCAATGCATAAAAAAACTAATATCTTTTCCGAATCAGCCACTAAATATGAATTTAGGGGATTAAAGATTTACAGCTGATCTCTCCTTTGATCTAGCTCCAACAAATCTATGCATAAAAAGTAGCTTTTAACATTCAAGGCCTAAAAAATACTAATATTTTTTCCGAATCACCCGCTAAATATGAATCAAGGTGATCGGAGCTTTGTAGCTGATCTAGTTCCAACAGAT